AAAAATTAAGACCTATGCTGTGTGAAGAAGACACTGTTGAATAGATATTTGTTTGTTTGCTGCTATGTGGGAGAGCCCGAACAGAGAGATACATAAGATGACTGGGATACAAAAGCATCTGGTGAGCAGGCACAAATGGATTCATCAGTTTGGTTTTGTAAGAATCCTGCACCAACTGAAATAGGAGAACAACACACAAATGCATGTCTGGGCAAAACTACAGAAGGTGTACTTTTGTGGTATGGATCCTCGGCTCCTGGTATCTCTGCAGATGTACTACCAGCAAAGACTGAAAATCAGATCAGAAAGAGATCTTAGCCATCACATATCAACCCTCAGCCAACATGTGAATAAATCCCCTCAATATGGCTCAGATAATATCTTTGGGTCAAGGGATGGTATCTTATGTCAAGGAAGTAAAAGATGGGTCTGCCTTACTTTTAGAACTGACCCAGAATCTGTGAAGTAAAAGGAGTCAGTAGAATAAACTATTTTTTTTCTCTCTTCCAAATCAAGATTAGCAATTATCATAGTTTCCTCTCAGTCTATCCCTATGTTGTAATCCACCTAATACAAGCCAGGGGTAGTAAAACGAAACGACCGAAGAGGAAGATGTACATGCCATCAGTCTATGGAAAGCAAGCTATCTCCGACTTCAGTTTTAATCATCCACTTCTCAACTGGTTTCTGCTCTTTTCTCAATTACGATATGAGGTAAGCTTTGCTATCTATTATTACTGTACATGTCTATATGATATCATTTTAAACATTTCCAACAGTGTTAAAGAAGATGGTGAATGTTTTAAATATAAGAAAAATGAATCCACACATTCCAGATCACACAAGTCTAATACATATCAAAAACATACTGGCCTCTAGTTTCCAGATTTCAAGTGTAATATTCTGGCCCTACACTACAATTTACCAACCTATAATATATCTCCTGTAATAAGACGCATGAAGATCCAGAAAAGTCTGAATTGAAATAACTATGAAAATGGAGTTAATATTTAGAAATTAGTGAACTTCTAAATAAAGTATGTAGCAAAGACATCAAATTCTTTTTTAAGAATAGAGAAGGCAGAAGGTTTTATTTGACTATAAAGGAAACAGCAATTTTACATAAAAGATACAGAACTACAACTGGGAATTTCCGTGGTGGGCCATTAACATTAACTATCTTACAGCCACTTTTAGCATACAGTGGTTAATTTTACAACATAATTAAAATTATGTGGGCAATTTTATGAAAACATGACAAAACATAAAAAGGTCTATTGACAAGGACTGAACTATTATGATGACTAAGGCTATATTCCAACTTCACTGAATCTGTGTCTATGGAGAAATTACTATGTATAAACTATTGCAATTATAAAATTTTAATACCTAATTTATGATTGGGCATGAAACCAATGGAAAAAACCTTCAATTCTTCAAGTGTTTAAAAATATTTTACAACAGTAAGGAAAAGGATTTTAAAAAGCAGTATGGTAAGTTCATATGGAACATACTATTATTAACATACTTTCTGTTTACTTATAAATTGTATTATGCCTTTCTTTCAAAAAGGATTTAGATAAGCTAAACCTTGTCTTCATAAAAGCAACTAAATCCTGCCTTAACTCTATTTAACTAACAAAGTAAAAGTGATAATTCTCCTTAGAGAAAAATTAAATCTTCCCAATAGTCATGTTCAAGATACTTTTCTCGGAGGAAAAATATACCCACAAAACCATTTAAGAAAGTACTGTTTGAAAAAGATATGTAACAAAAAGAGAATGTTTTATGTACAGATATTAGAGGAAGGTGGGGCCACGTAGTCAAATAACTGCAAAATATGCTTAATCCACCCCCTACTTAGTCATTGATCTACCAGTTAAGAGTCTCTAGGGAGCAGATTTCTATTTCATCACTTAAGGTCATGGCCTGTTTCCTAGCTCTTCTCGTTTTTACCACTTGTCACATGAGAATGGAAGGCAGGAAGGTGGTTTGTGTAACTGGCCCATTGCCAGGCTGTGAGCAAATCTGATGATAAATCAAGTGGAAAGAGCTAGTAGTAGTATAAACTGTTCAAGTTTACTGCTCTCATGAAACCATTCTCATACAAAAAACTATTTGAAAATCTCACTGAGTCTAAAGCTAACCTGCATTCTGTCCTTGATACTCCCTTAGACACTCTTCCTTCCATTTTTAGAAATTGAAAGAAATGATATCATGGGAACACTTTCAGAAGCAGTCTTAGTTTATACACAGTTTCACTAGCGCCACTATTCCAGCATGGAAACGACTTAAATATCTTCAGATAAGAAACTCTCCAGGAGTGCTGCTATCCTTCAAAACAAGGAAGAAAAGATAGTCAGCATCTAATTACTGCTGTGGAAAACTCAGAAAACAAAGGTTTCAGGGGTTATATAAACTAAGAAAAAAAGAATGTAAAAGTCTGAAGAAATGCTTTATTCTACTCTTCTCTACTGAACAATTTAATAAGCCATCAATAGGCTCCTGAGAAATTTCTGAGATTGACTGTTAGATGGTCTGAATTTTCACAAGGCAGCAAGATTCGTGACAGATGACAGGACACAACAGACGATTTCTTGAAAAGTTCTTGACTACATGTGCTTTCAGTGGGTCGAACATACTTGTGTAGCACAGTTGTTTACACCATTTAACATCAACAGGCTCTGCCAAGTGAAAAACTTTATGCTTTATACTTCTTGATAGCTACTAAAACTGAACCTGACATGGGTACACTAGAACAAATATGGCTACATGGATGTTTACTGTGTGGGGTTTTTCTTTTTTGACATGAAAACTATGTACCTCATAGTACCAGGGAATTTGTAAAAGAATGTTCACAGCACATATATTCAGAACAAAGGCTGGGCCTAGTGGCACAGGCCTGTAATCCCAGCACTGAGGAAGCTGAGGCAGGAGGATCACTTTGTGTTTGAGGCCAGTCTAGGCTACATTGTGAGTTTAAGGACACCCTAAACTATATAGTGAAACCCTGTCTCATAAACAAAAATAAACAAAACAAGAAAAAAAAGAGGAGAGGGGGAGAGAAAGGTGGGGAGGAGAGAAAGGGAGTCTGCCTTCCTGTCAGTGAAATGGACAAATAATGAGATTCTAATAGCAAAACTACTATAGAGCTGTGTTGTCCAGTATGGTAACCCTAGCGACATATGGCCATGGAGTATATGCAGTTTGACTACAGTGTGATTTGAGATGTGCCCTAAATATGAAAGACAAAAGGCTTCAGATTTAATATGAAAAAGTAAAATAAATTAAAACTCTTGCTGAAGCATTATTTATAAATGTTGTAGCATTTATTAGTATAAATGTAAATCCTTATTTTGTATATAACGAGGAAAGAAAACATTAAAATTAATTTATTGTTTCCTTTTACATTTTAAATTGTATCTACCAGAACATTTAAATGCATACATGTGGGTCACATTTTTCTAGTGGACAGGGCTACTCCAGATCAATGACAATGAACCACAAGTAATACATGAAACAAAATGAACAAATTCAAAAACACCATTTTGAGTCAGGATCATGGGACTCACACTACATGATACATGAAGTTTAAAGATCATATAAAAAAGTTTACAGATCAAACTAAACAAAACCAGGCACAGAAGTACATTCATGTAGTCCCAGCACTCTGGGAGGATGAGGCGGGAGGATGAGGCAGGAGGAGCCCAAGATGGGCAACTCTATCACTTATTGAGGCTCGGTCTCAAAATAAAAAATATAAAAAGGTGCAGTGTGGAAAGCTTGGATTTAATCCCTAGTCCTGCAAAAAGAAAAGAAAACAACACTGCCAATTTAGTGATGACCATAAAAAATCTGCCTAGTTACCAAGGGGAAAACAGAGGGCTGTGACTAGGAAGCTCTCCAGTGCTGCATCTATTTCTTGGCCTCTGTGGCAGTTTATTCAAAGTGCACACTGATATTCTAGGTACCACTCTGCAACTTACAACTTAAAAGTATTTTAAATGATTGAAAATAATTATTTTCCCTATCAAGTAATGATTTCAGAAAACAAACAAACAACAACCACAAAAACTTAATAAGGCTAAGTGACCCATCCTGTACCTCAAATCCATATAACTAAAGAAATGTAACATTAGGTCCCTTAACTGCCGAGGTAAGACTACATTGTTTATTTACCATATTTTAAAAGATTTTTTTCATATGCTTTTTTTCATTGAATATATAGATTAATAGGTTTTACTTTGACAGTGCTATACACACCAGAGCATATTCTGATCATTTTCACTGCACCCCTCATTGTTGGTCCTTTTTGCCCCACCCTCCTGTCCAAATGCTTTTAAAGCACAACTATATTTTGACAATATTATTTCTCCTATATCAGTATACTATATTAAAAAGTGTGGTGGACATATTTCTGAAAAGCTGCACATAGTCTTGTGAATTAGTAGGTCTACAATGCACAAAATAAATACTTGGTAAATGTGTTTACAAATAAGTAACATATTTAATGTGTCAAGATATAAAAGAAACTTTTGTGATTTCTCAAACTACCACTTATAACCTAAATATGCTAAATACACTGTAGTATTTTTCTAAAAATATAACCTGAGGCACCTTCTCAGAAATTTTCCTGCATTGGAAAATAAAATTTTACAAAAAAGCAGCAAGATTCTGAATATGTACAAGTTAGTTTACTGAAATAGGTGAATAAAATTACTTTTAAAATGCTTTTTATAACTAATACCTAATATAAACATAAGAAAATATAAAGAACCATGCTTTTAACACATGAGATTTCTCTGAGCACAAAAGCCTTGCCACCCATCATGAAATCTTCAAAAAGAAATGTTTTAGGATACAAAACTAAATTTGAAAATTTCTCTCAAGTATCAAAGAACTATGCTTCTGACCTATTTCACATTAATTCAGTTGATACAAAACTAAATTTATAAATGAAACAATCTAGATAAATTTATAGAATGAGTGTCTATACTCACCATGAACTTGGTTGATTTCTGAATTCTGGGAAAGAATTTCATCTGCTAATTTTTGAGCAGTTGGCAAAACTTCTGTGTGGTGCACTGTGATCAAATACTGTACAAACTTCTGTAGTTGGTCTCTATTCATTTGAAAGAGAGTCTCTGAAATGGGAAGATGAAGCTTGACCTGATCTGGTTTGCGGATACGGTATAAAGACAGTGCCACAACATGAGCACAATAAAATATGTCCTTGTTTCCACAGCTGCAGGTCACTGAGGTAATCTTGCAACGATCAAAGCTGATGGCCACGTTGCAAACAGTTTCTGGCTCCGATTGTATTGCAGGTTCTGTCACTGTGCCACTCAAGTGGAAACCTACACGAAAGAAAGGGGCGAGTTTAGCTTTTGCATTCAGATGCCATGGAATCTGACTCTTACAAATGTGTGGTACTGGACAGGAAGAAAAAACTATGACAGCCTTTATTTTCAGTTAAAAACCTTTAAGCTATTAACTCTTTAAGCTATTCACTCCCTCATAAAGGTAAGAAAATCAACAGATACGTTGAGGTATTTTATACAGCCAGATGAAAACACTTATTGTAGTACGTCGCCATCACACCTATAGCAAGTTATTAGAACATGACACTTTTAAGCCATCAAGACTCTGTGTCTATAGTAGACAAGACAAAAACCTTCTAAATCACTGAGATCAAAGGCTTGTCTGCTTCCTTTTTCTTATCTTGTAGAATCAGCCCACTCAGCTTTCTTTCAAAAACAAAAAGCTCTTCCTTCCCTCTGCTTTATTCTAGGCCGTCACTGGTTTGCTCCTACCAACATTCCAACTTTGAGGGGGACTCACTTACAAACTTTGATCAGGTAAAATTTTAAATGTAACAACCCTTTCTGATATGGCAGTATTTATGAGCAACTGCTGGTACAGCTGCAAAATTCATGGAATCTCATATCCATCACCAGTCCAAGTAACTCATAGGGATTTCTTTTCTTTCATATTGGAAAGCTGGTACAGATAGATGGTCATACACACAGAGAGTAAAAAAAAAAAAAATTACCAAAAGGGAAGGGTCATACTGTAAACTCAAAATTACACAGAAATCCTCTACAAGCTCCACAACCAATGGCACATACTCCATGACCATTGGCACATATTCAACGGCAAAGGATAAACATGAAGGCAATGAGCAGGGGAACTCTTTGGCTTCTCACATGCAGATTTACCTCAGAATTGCAAGTTCTTGATAGAAATCTGAATGTTACACAATAAAGTCCTTGGCTCTCTGTCAAACTTCTGCTATTTATGCTACTTTAATAAAGTCATGGAGCTGGCAGGCCACTGTTGCTCTCCATTCACAAAAAGAAAGGTCTTTACCCTATGGGGACTCTCAGAGAGGTGGAACACAGAGGTACAAAGATATATGCTTGAGCAACAGTCAGAAAACACCAAGAATTGACACATAGGAAATACGTACCCTCACTTGCCTCCTCTGACAGAGACTACCCAGGCCAGTCAGAAGAAACATTACGTCATATAATTCCATGTTGGTAATTTATGTTTGGCACTACTTAATGGATGAATGTACCACGTTTTTACTAAATGAATCAGTTCTAAAGGAAAATTCATAAAAATGGTACTATCATTGCTTCACAGTAAAAAAAAAAAAAAAAAAAAAAAAGAAATCTGAGAACTATCACAGGATAATCATGTGTTTTGTTCCTCAAACATTATCCCTGTGTCAGATATTCCAGCTTCATTTATCTCTATGGATCAAGAAGTTTTTCTGAAAAACCACAATTAAGGGATACACAGAAAATATAAATTTTTAATGTCTATTTTCATGCAACATTATGAAGAAAATGTAAGATGAAAAAAATACCTGAGAAAATTTCAAATATGAAGAAAAACATAAGAGCAACCTTGCCTTAATCCATATATACCAGAAGCACCACAAACCTATAATAAATCCACAAACCAACTAAAAATCCATTCAACAGGCAAAGACTAAAATAAAATATATCGGTGACCATAAAAGAGTGTCCAGAAAGCTCCTATGCATATTGTGTACTTTTAGTTCAGGTAAAACTGTTTCTGTCACATGTATGCTTACAAGGATCATAACTCAAGTGACTATTATAAAATCAACCTCTTCCCACTTTATACTGTTATATCTCTTGCCTGTTAAGTCCAAGTCTTTGTGTCTCCATATGATTATTAGAGATCTCTTCTAACCATATGCAGAAGCAAGACAAGGGAAGATAAAAAAGAATACGCCTAGTCAATGAAGTCTCCAAGGGTCACTGAGATTCAGTGGCAGAATTCAGCTTTGTATGTGAGAGGTCCTGGATTCAATCCCCAGGACCATGCAAAAGTTAAAATTATTTTTTAAAAGGCTCCAAGAGGATAACCAAGTACATCCTTTAAAAGAGAGTGATTTACATTATGAAAGAAGAGACTCAGGAAAACTGATGGAGCCTTCAAAATGCTTTTTGTAAAAATGACCTCCTTTACTCATGTGAATTGTACAGTACTTCAGAAAGAAGTATACTATCAAATCCTGATATTGTACAATTATGCTGAGGGAAAATTCCACATATCCATTAAACATTTTTATTACATGGAACATTTACTATTCTTGTAATGCATTTTCAAAAGCAAACTATAAAATATTGACACATACACATCTTATTAAAAAGTAATACTTCCTTAATCTGGTATCATCAAAGATGAAGGTAGTTCATGAATGTTCATTTTTTAAGTAATTCTAGGATCATCTTTCGAGTATAGTATTCAAGTTCCCTTAAAATCCCAACTATTTTGGAGGAAACATTTCTAAATGCTGAGAGCTCCTGGTCATCCTAATCTGCTGACCATTTTTCAGGCGTTACCAATCAAGACAGCGGGGACGCAACAACTGCAAGTGGCAGTAGGATTAAAGAGTTCTTTCGGTTATTTTTCTCCACTTATCTCCATATGGTGACTCCTCTCCTATACTGCTGGTCTTTTTTCTTTTTTGGTAGAAACATCTTTTGTCTCAGAACAGCCATATCTCTACTTTGATTACTTCTATAGTAGTATTTAATAGTTCCACTCAAAACACATACATGAAGGGCAGCTGCTGTGTTACTTTTTCAGACCCTGCAGTATAGTCAGGAACCCTACCCGACTTTACTTCAGTAACTGTGTAATAGTGTATGTTGGCCTCACCAACTTGGAAAGCCTTGGAAATTTTGCTAATACTATGGGTATTATACCAAAGATCATACCAAAACACAGGAGAAGCAAGAAGAATATTATTCCCTCAACAATACCAGAAGCCCTCTAAGACAACCCTCCCAGCCTTATCCCCCACTCCCCACTCCTAGGCTGGGTTTCTCTTTTAGGCCCTGGGTGACCTGAAATAAAACAGTGCTCCTGAGGATTGATCTTGCCTTTCTAGGTTTCTGACCAATTGTTTTAGGATAAGAATTAAGCACACAAAAAAGGGCAATCCTGTACTCTGCTGTTAAAACATGAAAATTTAACTTTGATTTCCTTTTTTATTACTATATATATGCAATACATAATGTAGTCATAGATACCAGTATATACACATATCACAACTTGATCTTATTTTGTTTTAAAGAACTAAAACTGATAAAATTATTATAAACCTCATCTTAAAAATGTTTATATGAGTTTATAAAATATAACTTAGGAAAAAGTTAATCTTGCAAGAATAAACCTCACAGGGCAGTCAAATTGTTTTATTATTACAAAGTCACACAGAGCCCAATAAAAAATGTTCCCATCCATGGTTTCAATCTGCAAGAACCGAAAAGTAAGGCACAAACCAGGAGCTCAGCATTGTATGGTCCTTGGGAAGAGAGAGACTGACAGGTTCTGTTATATCAATGCTGTGTGCCCTGGACACATTATTTAACCTTTCTGAGCTTCTGAGCTTTCTGAGCTTATTTGAGCAAGAAAGTGGCTAGAAATATGCCACAGGGATGTTTGGGGGATTAAAATGAATAACATATGTAAAGCACCTGGCACACAGTAAAAGTGCTCATTAAATTTTATTCCCCTTTCCTTCCCTTCCCAGCTAGAAAAACAGGGGGGAAGTACAGATACTCTCCTTTCATCCATAACACTTTCTAAGCTACTGGAATCTTGTGGGAGGAGGTAGCACTCACAGAGTGCCTTGGAAAAAAAGAGATACTCTGGTTGAAGGTAAGGAAACACTAGAAAAATCATTTGACAGCAAACAAACAAACAAACAACCACTTCAGAAAGACATTTGTATCTCTGCTCAACCCAGCTCTTTCCCCATTTTTCCTAAATTCTATGTGTGTTAATTTCATACACGTAGAAAACATCCCATATGATCACACAGAATTGTTTTTAAAAACTTTTAGTAATCATATATACTTCAAAAATGTCATAATGCGATGATTCTTATAAAAAGTATGGTCCTGGGATCCCACAAATTCCCAAATTCCTTTCAAGGAGCTGATGATATTGAAATTTTTTGTAATTGTATTTAGACATTACTGACCTTTTAAGCCATCTCTTGTGAGTTTATATTTCATATTCCAGAGGTTATACGCATTGCAACAGACTGAACACAGTGACAGAAAAATCCAGTTCTCTTCTATTTAATGCAGACATTAGGTTTGCACAAATGCAAAACATTACTATTTTTTACTAAAATATTTTTGTTTGGAGGACTACAGCTATTTTTTCATAAAAGTATATTATGTCTGTTCACATGTTTTATTACTAATATTTATTATGCATTTTAACATTTTCTCAGTTTCAAACACAGTAAGTACCAACAGCTATAACCGTATAACCAGAAGCATGAAAGACTCCTCCATAAGAGACCCGAAAGTTGAAGAACTGCTATTATTGCACATCGCAATGATATCGAAGAAGTAACAAATCCTTTCCAAGCTGTCCTTGCTGAGACTTTATTTGCACCTGGATTTTAGAGTAGGAGTCAATAGTTAAATAAGCAACACTGAAGGGGCAAATTTCTCAGTCATGAATACTTCCTCAATCGTCTACATTAATTTTACAAAGATTAAGATTTCTTGGAAATAAACATTTAATTCTTACTGATGTTCAAAAGTAAGCTTTTTTAGAAGATGGATTTTTTATATCTAAGATTAAATGTTAGCTGCGTAGAAGATGTATGGTGTCAGGTTGGAAAGACAAGTTTTTAAACACGGAATTTCTAATGATTGGCCATTTTATGCATACATCAACTATAAAATGGTTATAAACTCAAAGTATTAGAAAATTTCAAGCTAAAATAAACTAGCAGATATGAAATATACTAAAAACTATTCCTTTAATGGCACATTCTTTTCAGAAAAAT